GTAGCTGTTCATATGATATTAAGTGCATATTATGAAATAATATCACTTGACATATAAAGTTGTTATTTTTTTCAGGCCGATTCATACATGTACAACTACTGTAGTTTTATTCTTTCAGCTTAATGAACTCAATTCAATATTTTACCTTTTTCACTTTAGCTTCTTGTACTTTTTGATCCTTTTCGCATTTCTTTGCATATCTTTCTAACTGTTTTGTCGTAAACTAAGGATATTACAGATAAGTATTAATACTTTGTTAAATATTAGTGTCGTTTCTAAATTATTTCCAAGCAGTTTACAAACCTTCAACTGAAATAAGGTATCTGAAATAAAAAGAAAAAAACATAGTTGTTTATAGCAAATACGTCAAATGATTGGAGAATTAGGTTCTTGGGAGAACAGATCAACGATTTTACCTTCAATTGGCATGATCAAAGCTTTATAAAAAGGAGAAAATATCGTTAAAAGGGAAGTAAATTGACGAAACCAAGATGAACACTGACAAAAATCTATAAATAAACACTAGAGCCCAATCTCCCTATGGGTTCCCTATGGGTTTCCTGTGKTTTACTTACCCAATATGGTATTACTAACCAAATATGGTTATTACCTCATTGTATGGAAAAGCACYTTTTCCTGCAGCATTTCTCTCTAATTATTTCTTCCGTCATGAAAGGATAGTTTGACGATATTTCTAATTCATTCTGATAGTATTTCAGTCATTGATAACATTTTTCGTTTTATTTAACGGTTTTTGTGAGCAGTTGGACCCGGAAGTACGTCACAGTTTTATGCTCCAAGTTCTAAATGTGGTTACCCTGTGGTTTTGTACCAAATATAGTGTTACACCCCTTATTTGGCATTAGCCCTGTCATTTGCCCTGGTACACCCCACTTCACCAGCGTGAAGAAGAGACGCCATTTTTATCTATCAAAGAAGTAATATTACGAACTTCTTATTTTTGACCGAAATTTCTTAAAAATTCTCTCGTATTGGAGCATAAATTCAAGGTAGAATGAAACTTATTTGATTGTTATCTATTTTTTTAACTTGAAAGTCAAAGAATTGTGTTTAAAAATTACACTTTTTTGCTTCAAATGGATGAAGTGCTTAGCCATGTGGTCGAGCAAACTTTCATAACGTATGGACAAAAATTACCCTTAATATTGGATTTTTAAGGGTTTTCTTTCCCCTACATCATTTGGTTTACTCATTCTTATATTTGTATGTGCTTTTTTCACAGCAGTCTGACAATATGACTGAAGATTTTGACATCGAAGCTATGTTGGAGGCTCCCTACAAGAAGGAGGTAAAGAGTCACTCTTTCCAGTTTAGATTTCACATCATGTGCATTTGCTAATATCTGATATAGAATTAGAAATCGCAGTGTTTGGGTTCTTTAACCATGTAAATTCCAATTCTTGTGTTGTCTAGAGCAAGCGTGGGAAATTTGTTAGTCATATATCCCRATTTCACTTTCGTCTCTAAATTATCCAAATTTTTAAATGCGTCCCTGGTTTTATAATTCACATAATTTCAAAACTTGTATTTCTTCTTGATTGGACTAGATTCCCTACTGTGTTATTTATAATGAGATGTCTTGTTCAGGTGGGTAGAGTTACATTAACATAAACACCAGAATAAACTTCAAATGTGCACATCATCTGCATTAGTTTTCCTTAACCCCACCTCACCCCACCCCACCCTGTGATTTTTCATTATCTGGCAACCAAAATGATACTGAGATATCATTCCAAAACATGCCAACAAAAGTGGTAAAACAAGTTGAAGCTAATGATGCCTTAGATGATGCAAGAATATTTATTGAAGAACTTTGTTTTTAGACAACGCCACAGAACAACAAGAGCAAAGAGGAAAAGGGCCATTCCAGTTCGAGTGATGATGACGATTATGAGAGAAAAAAAGGGTAAGACATTGATTGACAAAGGAATACTGGCTAGGGTTTCTGTAAAAGAGATCTAGGTGTGCATTGGAAACATATGATCATTATGGCTATGAAGCTCTTTCTGCCAGTAAGTGCCGCAGCAAAGGATTAGGATATCTTCAAACAATGCTGAGCCACTGCTATTTCTTATCTTCTAGGTACACATAAAAATTTTAGGTTATTCAAGCCACTATAACAGATGATGACTCTGGAAATCGAAGACATTCTCTATTTTGAATGTTGCAGGTTAAAGTGGTTACTTTAGGGGTGGGCTTTGGAGTTTTACATTGATTGTRTTGCTCCAACATATATTCACCTTGTAGAAGAGCTTTTAAGGCTATTGCAAGAGAGTTTGAGGGTTGAATTTCATGTTTTTCTTAACACCAAACTGAAAACTAAAGTTTTTATAACTRTAGTACAACTAATGAAAAAATCTGCAGGGATGTATCCAGTGTGATTTGATGGCCTGTTTTTGTTAACAAGCATTCTGAAATAACTTAGAGATGATCTGGTTTTGATGATCCTTGTCAAAATTTAACTTAATGAAATGTGGTAATGTTTTTTTTGTAGCAAGTGTGACTTCAGTAAATAGAAGTCATAAGAAGATATAAGGGTCTTGACGAATTATGTGATACATATTGTGATACATTTAAAATAAAGATACCTTTCGCTTTGTTTTAATTAGTGAAAGTYATAAAAAAGGATCCATTTGTAAAATCTTTGAGGAAAACATTGGTAGCTAATTTTGAGTGATTTAATGGGAATTAATATAAAATACAGTTCTAAAACACCTGGATACATCCCTTATATGCTAAAAAAAAATGAATTAAACAATAAAAGCACAATATTTATGCATTTTTTAAGTTAAATTGCACTTTGCCTTGCTATAGGAGCAGTTATTTTAGGAGTAACACCTAACGTTCTTCAGTTTGACACTGCTTTGAGGAGTGGAATTCTTTTTTTTCACTAAAATAAGAAGAACTTGTCTTCAATACTGAAAAAAAAAACCAGCATAAGAGTAACGGATAGATTGCTTCATCATTTGTCTTGGCAAAACGAGCATAACTTCCTAGCCTATCCATCAAGCAGTTTTGTTATAATCTGTTTTCTCTCATTTTAAACAGTTATGTGGGACTGAACGTGAGCTACAAACGCATTTAGAAGGTATTGTATGCCGCCGGCACTTTGGCAAACCTCACAGCGTAGCCGACTTAAAATACTTATCAGCTCCAAGATATGGCATACATATGGCAGGAGTTTTCAGTGAAACAAATGGGAGATTTCCATTWATGACATCTACACAAAATGTAGGTGAAAAACTTTATATCATGTCATTCTCTCATATTTAAATTCTCGTTGCTTTGCAGAAGGAGAAGAAGAAGGTCAAAGTCAAGAAGTCCAAGACGATCTCGCAGTCGAAGATCAAGATCTAAATCTCGAAGTCCTAAACGGAGATCACGCAGTCCAAAAAGAAGATCACGTAGTCCAAGGCAGAGGTCTCGTATTTCTAAAAGAAAGAGCAAGAGTAGATCACGAAGTCCCARAAGAAGAAGTAGAAGTAGATCCTATAGCCCTAGGAGAAGGGGTTCCAGGTAAAGGAAGAAAAACAGTTGTATRCATCCGATCAAGTTACCTCCAGCAATCAAATCAAGACCAAATTAAAGGTACAAAATTACTTTTCTTATTTTTTAGGCGAAGACATAGAAGTATAAGTAGAAGCAGAAGTCGTTCTCCTCCCAGACGAAGAAGGAGAAGTGGGAGCATAAGTCATACCAGAAGTCCTGTAAGGAAAAGAAGAAGTGACAGTCCAAAACAACCCTCTCTACCACCTAGTCCAGAAAGGTACAGCAATGCCTTGCATTATCATATTAGCAATACCATTCCTATTAAACTGACTAACTAACTGTCTTTAAAAAGAATGACTTAGGCCATTAAAACTTTGGCTTGTGTAATGTGTGTGTAAAAAACCGAAGGCTTTGTTCCAGAGGTAAAGTTCTAAATAATGAATAAATAATAAATGGGATTTAACAGTGGCATTTCTACGGAGTAGCTATCATCCACTGTAATTCCAATTATAATTTAGGAGTTGATTTTTGCYGGAGGGAGGAAAGCCAGACAACCCSCAAAACCCTCGAAGCACAGGAGAGAACCAACAAACAACTCTACTCATATACGACATCGAGCTCAGCGGGACTCGGACCCGGGTCACATTGGTGAGAGGTCAGCGCTCTCAYTGCTACGGCACCCGTGCTTCCCAGTTTTTTATTGTTGTTTGAAATGGCCATAACAATCRACAACAGAAAATCAGTTTAAGGTATTCAAGGTATAGACTAGAAAGAAATCTGTAATTTACCAATRTTTTCATTGCTAATGCTGATTGAGGCAACAGTTATGAAAGGAAAATCAGACAGTAGACTTCAGTCAATCAAAAAAATCCTTTCCATTTACCTTCTCACAGTTTCCATAGACCTAAAGTTACAATACTTTAACAATGTATTTGATTGACAGTAGTGTATTGCTTGATTTCCCTGTCACAACTGTTGTCTCAATTGTTCTATTGCAATGAAAATGTTGTCAAACCCACACAGGGCTTCTAATGTAAATGATTTATCTAATTTACAGACATGCACCAGAACCAGAAACCCCAGAGGCAATACTGGAGAGAGATCAAAGAACAGTATTTTGTATGCAGCTTGCAAGAAATATCAGACCAAGGGACTTGGAAGAGTTCTTTTCAAAAGTAGGACAGGTGTCAGATGTGCGCATAATCTCTGACAGAAATTCAAGAAGGTCAAAAGGAATTGCATACATTGAATTCACTGATAAATCAGCTGTTCCCTTGGTAAGTGTTAACACTATTTCAAGTTTGGACATTTAATTTATAAACTTTTTAGTTTTTTCATCAATATATAACAATTGTACTTGTGGATGAATAGTCACAAAGGAGAAATTAGTTTGGTGTTATACATGTCTTAGGATGAGTTTTTGGCCTCCTGATCAGCCTCTAATTTTTCCACTTTGGAAATTTTACTCCTTGAAAACTCCTTGAATTTAATTCACRTTTTCAAGGGCACTATTGAAAAGCTCTTGAATTTTACGAYTTTAGCAAAACTCCTTGAATTTTTGCTTTGATGATTACTTGCATGGTTCTGAAATAGATCTAGTCAGAAAGATTGGAAGATCTGAAAGTCRGTCATGTGCAACCACCGTGTAAAACCTCGGCATATTTAGCTGAACATACTCCTTGAAAATTCATTTTTGGGTCCTTGTATACTCTTTGAATAGTCCTTGAATTTTAAGTGGCTACCTCAGCACGAACCCTCGTAAATATCTTCTGGTAATCACTAGATGCTCGAAAAATCGAAGTGTGCAAAACTCAATATTAAAGTCTAAAATATTATGCTAAAAAATTATTTCCTAGGCTATTAATCTATCAGGAAACAAACTTCTTGGAGCTCCAATCATGGTCATGCCAACACAAGCAGAGAAAAACAGACTTGCAGCAGAAGCAGAAAAACTGAAGCAACCAATTGGTCCAACAAGACTTTATGTTGGTTCTTTACATTTCAACATCACAGAAACAATGATCAAAGCTGTGTTTGAGCCTTTTGGAATAGTAGACAGTGTACAGCTGATATATGATTCTGAGACTAATCGATCTAAAGGCTATGGGTTTGTACAGTTCAGAGATGCAGAGGCTGCTAAACGTGCTATGGAACAGATGAATGGCTTTGAGCTTGCAGGTAGACCCCTCAAGGTTGGCCCTGTCACTGAGAGAGGAGACTCATCGGCTTATTCATTTCTTGATGATGAGGAATAYGAAAAGGGTGGAGTAGAACTTAATTCTACTGCCCGTGCAGCTCTCATGGCTAAATTATCTCAGGGACATTCCGCAGGTGAGAAAATAATAAGCAAGCGTTTGATGATTCGTTAGTGGCAAGCAAGCAATTATTTGCCAATGCTGAGACACTAAMAAATCACGATATTCATACTGCACAAAACACAACGRAAAAAGAATAATTTGAATGATAATAGTTATTGAATGTACAGGCTAATRAAGTAATTTCAAAAGCTAAACACTTTTGTCTGGTTTTAGGTCTCATTGTTCCTGGGGCCCCGGCATCAGCTCCTGGTGTACAGCCATCTTTACCTACTTCTGTAGCTGTCAACCTTCCTACTCCGTGCTTTATGCTTACCAACATGTTTGATCCAACAAGGTAAGTCTTATTACCATCCATTCATTTAGCTTTTTAATATTCTCCTTTGCTCACTCAGTCATTGGTTTGTTCCAGGGAAAAAGATGAAGGTTGGGATCTAGACATCCGTGATGATGTTCTGGATGAATGCTCAAAGTTTGGACCAATAGTTCATATCCATGTCGATAAAACATCACCRCAGGTATGTATTCTGGTCTAATGTCACCATCGCTACCAGTATCTCAATTATAATGAATTTATAAATGTACATTAAGTTAACTGTATTTGTGTTGATCTGTTCAATTCAATAGGGTATAGTTTATGTCAAGTGCTTCACACCTGATACTGCTATAAAGGCATCCAAGGCATTACATGGAAGATGGTTTGCAGGTAAGTAGAGTACAGTAATAATTATTCATGTAAGAATCAGTGATAATCTTTGATTTTTTTCTTTCTTTTTTGCATAAAAAAGGGGTCTATATTGGTGATCACATTATTTCCTTACCTCTCCTAGGCATTAAGCCGCATAATGATAATACATTATTTTAATAAAGCTTTAATACTTGGTGTTATTTCTTTGTACAGGAAAACAGATCATAGCAGCACCAATCCCTCTATCTAATTACCATACRATGTTCCCTAATGCCATATCAGCATCAAGAGCACTACAGCCGTCCACAGTATAGACGACTCTCTCCAACATATTATAAATTACATAACTTGGTGATTGGATTACGTATTCATTGTATTATGGAGATTTTCTGTTGCTTTAGCTGACATAATGTTTAGCTTATCTTTGGTAGTTTATCTCCTGATTGAGTTAAACGTTCATTGTAAATAGATTGTCTTCTCTTATAATTGTATTTAGTTTATTTCGGACGTTTTGAATAATTTCCACCCTACAGAGCTCTGTCCACCTTACATGAGTTGTAGCAGGTACTCTAAGATKTTGCATTGCATGCTATTAATTTATTCTATCGTTGTAATTTTCTTTAGCTTATAATTCTCTWACGAAAAGTTGCTTTAATTTTTGGGCAAGTGAAATCAATCTGTTTTACTGCGCAGTAAGTTCGTTCTTTAGTTAATAAAATCACTTGAAAACGATCTTTGTACTGAGTCCTTTAAGGAGGCTGGAAAATGTTTTCTGCCTTCACATACACTCCCAATTATGAACTAAAACAAATAATATGACTACTGTATAATATGACTACTGTATAATATGACTACTGTATAATATGACAGCAAGTAAACCAGGAAAGCCAAAGACTATAAAACCAAAGATAACAGTGAGCATGAAAAAATGACGTCAGACGTTGCTATGACAACATCAGAACCTTTGATATGCCATCAAAAATGTTCATTTAAAAAATCATAACTCGGGAACCAAATGGTGAAATTTTTAAAAAACCAGAATATTTAAACTTTCTATCGTAATCTTTTTGACAAAAAAAGAAAAAATTCTGTAAAGGGAATTCGTAAAAATCAATGAAATTTGTTTGGAATAGTTCCCTCTTACAGAATTTTTTAAAATTTTCCTTAAGTTTTTGAAAGCATAAACTAAAGCCCTATGCAAAATATGAAGAAATTTCACAGCAGAATTTTCGATTTTTTTCAGTTTGAACTTTAAAATTTATGAGTACGAAAAATTTCCTTTTGCAAGTTCTACGTCATCAGACCTAGAGCGCGCGCTCAAGAAAAACCGTTTCGAGCGGGAGGATGTCGAATGTATAGATCTAGAACCCCATTGCTATACAGACGAAGTGAAGAAASCCATTCAAATCCAACTAAAAGTGAAACAGAAATCCCAGAAGAGTAGATA